AAGCAACAATAACGACAAGCGCCAGACCGACCAGACGATCACAATGTTAACAGTATCGAACAAGGCATGACAGTAAAAAAAAGGATGCAACCGTGTGACACAACCACAATTTACATCGCAAACAGCAAATAGACATATCAAGGTGCGAATAGTGTGGATACAGAACCCACCCTTCTTCGCTCCCTTGCCGCCCTTGCCACCAAAGCGGGGTCCCTCGTCCGCGTCGTCGTCACCAAACAGCTCCTCCTGCGGGGTGGGGACACGGGGCAGTGAGGTCAGGCAGGTCACGGTCAAGGAAGTCAGAGGTCAGGGGACAGGCCAGCGATTCACCCCACATACCTATCATGCAAACCCCCGACCCTCCCTTCCCTCCCCTAATGCACCTCCCAAACCTGCCCCTTCGTCCCACAACAACCCTCCGTACCTTCTCCCCCAGCGTCATCCCATACGCCGCACCCAAACCAGTCCAGGAGAAAAGACATGTGATAGGAACAGGCGGAGGGCACATGTGCCCTTTCAGCACTACCACAAGCTAAATGCGGAAAGGGCACAAGGGGTTGTTCCCGACATTCCTGCGTTCCACACCACCACCTTCCCCAGAACTGTCACCCCCACATATCTCGAGCCCAGGGCCGCGTGCACACTCCACCCACAGCCCCCTCCGCGAACCCCCCTCTTCCGTCCGCCTGATCAGTACCCTTGCCCGTGCCCAAGCCAGAGCCAAGAAGCTCCGGGCTGTTCCCCCAACCCCCAACTGTCGGAGCCCCTGCGGGGCCCCACCCGACATCACCCACCTCCAGCTCGTCCTCGTCGACGAAGCGTTTCAGTCGGCCTCCACCCCGACCTCCCAGCTCGTCATCCACCGCCCCAGCCAGCGGCAGCAGCCGCCCGGCCGCCACCTGCTCCTGCCGCTCCCGGGCCTCCTCCTCCTGAGGGGTTGGGGGGTGGGGTTGGGTAGGGTGGGGGTCATCGCCGCATGGGCCCACACGCGCGGCTGGCCGCCGAAACGTTGCGATGGAGTTGTAGCTGAGACGTCGACAGGCAGTAGCAGGAGCAGTTGTAATAGCAGTCAACCCCCCCCAGCCCGCCACGCCAGGCTAAGCCCCCCCTACCTGTCTCTGCTTCTCCAGCCGTTGTGACTTAGGCACCAGCCTCAGCGCGAAGGGGTCCAGTGGAGCCCCACCTTTGCTGGCCGCGTTGA